AAGGTTCAAGTTGAAAGTATTCTTAAAGAATGATTGGTAAACTTGTTTGGTTGAGAAATCATTTATTGGTGTGGTGGTATCTGAAAATAAGAATCTCAAAATAAAAGGTATGATTTTTCTTAATTAATAGATTCTTTCTTTTTTTTTGATGTAATTATGTTACTTGTAATAATAATAATGTGTGTTTTCACTTATGTAACTAGATTGCTTTCTTTCTTTATAAAAGAAATTTTTAAAATTCATACTTTATACAATCACATTAATTACGAAGATCCTACTCCAACAGTTCCTAGCATCTTTAACACTAGCATTTTCACTAGGTACATTCCCTTTACCACTAGCATGGACATCACTATATTTAGGCATATTAACATTAGGTATGGAAGAAGATCTGCCTATAGTAATAAGCTTGAATATTGCTTGAAAAGGAATTTCAGGTATAATAGCCAAAGTAAAGGTTGATTTTCTTTGAACCTTAATGCATTTTGAACATATTTAACACATCAACATCATTTTTCAGCTCAAAGAATTTGTTTGAATTTGTATGTTGTCCTTTAATGGCTATACTCATTCCTATACTAAGGTGAAATCATCAATAATAGCTTTAAATATGTTGTTTGTTAACTCGATGAATAGGTATCTATCAAGATTAAAACTCTTTATAGTTCTTCTATTACTATTGAAATGATCCACCCAGTTATACAATATTTCACTAGCCCTCAATAACCATATATTACAACAAAATATTTTTATTTTAAAGCATGTACATACTCTAATTTTTGCATTAGAAATAGAAAATCTTGCAACTATCCTTAATTACATTCAATCAAGGTTTGACTTACCACAACTAATGAAACTAATTAATATTTTATTCAATTTTTATGCAAGACAATGTCTTCTTCAAAGCTTTTCTTTTACCTCTTTTTTAGTTTAGGTTTGAGGTGGACGAAGACTATGAAAATGAAGATGACAATTAAAGTTAAATGAATCTTGTAATTTTATTACAAAAAAAGATTTGGTTGTTTTAAGATCATCAATAGTTAATAATTTTTTAATATTTATTAATGTCATTAGATATTTTGAGATGTCTATTTTTAAATTTAATGAACTTGAAATAAATTATGACAACCCCTTGACAACTTGAGTTTTTTTAATTTTAATTTTAAATATTATTATTTAATGTCAATCAATAATGTCCACAAATTTAAGTAATTGATGATGTTAAGCTACGTGGCTGAATTCTGAACCACGGACAAATTGTCAAGGTAGGGGCTCGAACCTAAGTCTTAATCAATTGACATGTGGCTCGCCAATAGCTCACCTCCTGCTGTGTCCGAAGCAAAACCTAAATCCTAAGGCAAGGTCAAGGTCCTATATAAAAATCTAACTACATGGAGTTCTGAACTCGAACACAACGCCCACTAACTAGTAACCTTCACCTGAGCTAATGAGGCCACCACCTTCTACAATGCCAGGGTTACCCTCGCGATGTAATATATGATTGGTGCTCAACTTCACCCATCTTTCAGGCGACCCTTGAACTAAACACTATGCTCAACTATGAACAGAAACCAGATTTCAATCTTCCTGATCAGGCCCCCAAATTTCCTTCTCTGCCAGCCTACAAACAGTAAGTACTTTACCTTAGTTTGTCTTATTTAAAGATTTGAGATAAGAAGCACGTCACTACTGAATTGGTCTACATGCAATATGATTGCATCACTGTAGCTTTTGCGGTCGTAGTCATTGTCTCGTTTCAGATTCTGCTTTTGAAACAGTAGAAAGCAACTTGTTTCTGAAATTATCTGGCCAGGTCTGTTCACCTAATCAATTTGCCATTAATGATTGATTTAGAATTTCTTAACACCATTAAAAGAAATGACAAATAGCCAGTGCTCCTGTCTCTATGTTGTTTATAACCCATGACAGACATCCATCGTCTTCTTAGGGATAGTTAGAAGCAATTTGCATTGATTCAGAGAAGTCTACTGAGATTAAAGAATGAATCCTCAGAATTTTGTTGAACTGAAACAACGAATCAAAATTTTCTATATTCTGAAAAGAATAAAAAAATTGACATTTGTACATCTGAGATGCTTCCCCTGTTTCTTCCAATCATTTCTTCAACCTCTCTCTCCTCAGAACTCAAGAGTCCAAAATGGTGGAACACAAGCAACTGGAATATCCCCAACGAAGAGCATAATCTCCAACGTCCTCGTTCTCTACCTAATTTGACTTTTGATGTCTCCTCATTTACATTGATCTATCTTCCTAAATCTCACAAATTCAAAGAACAACCCAGTGGTTGCTAGAACGCGTTCTAATTGCAGGCTGTTCTGTTTACTTCCCCTTGGTGCCGCTGCTGCTGCTGCATATGGCGGCGAACTAACTCTTCTAAAGCTTCCCTCATCCACAAATGCGGACATTGCTCTCTAGCTTCAGAGACTGTCACCTACATAGACAAGATAACACAGGTTTAGGTCTTCAATTCTCTAAAACAATCGCACTAACACTTCAGCAGTTCTCTTACTATAACTATTAACATATTGCAGCAATACATACCCATTTCCTATTCCGGACGTTTTCCTCAGGCCAGCGATCTAACTCTTGCTTGACAAGCAAAGGAAACATGTGGCCTTCATGGAATTTGCTTTGCCTTTTGCTCTTATACGACCATTTACCTAATTTACACTGCAAAAATACATCCAAATAATAGAGTTAAAATCAAGAAAAGGCATGAGATTTAAGTGAAGAGTTCAATTGAAAACCGTCGGGCAGATACTAACTTCAAGATTGCCAACAACACCGGCTTCCTCAAGCGTCTCTCGAATGGCTGCGGCCTCCATGGTTTCATCTTTTTCCCAACCACCCTTAGGGAATAACATTCCTTGACCATTCTGTGCATTAATTACAAGAACTTCTATTACTTCATCAATTGAAGTTGCTTCTTCCGTTTCCCTATATCTGTAGGGAATACACCTGTTCAAAGGAAATAGCGTATTAGAACCTTTTTCTCCCGCCAAAAAAAAGTTATAATTCTATGTTCTTGCCAAAACCCAGAAAAGAGAATTGTAAACAATGAGGAAAAAACCCCTCAAACATGAAAATTATCCAAGAAATTTAAGTACTAGAAAAATGGAAGGCAGTGTTCTGTGTTCATCAATTGGAAAAAGGCCCACTTCAACGAACTGCCCAAGTCCAATGTCAGAATGCCATTTAAATTCAAAATAAGCAAAAATAAATTAGAGAAAACCAAACCAATGAAGAAATAGGATTTGGGTGTACGATTTTTTCTTGTTGGCACCATGATGAGAAAAAGAAACATGTAAAACGAAAGGGGAGGAAAAGAAAGATTACCCAACAACTAATCGAAAGCCTCTCTTATCATAGCGCTGCAACTGCCTACCGGTGCGAGGATAAGACACACGAGAGACCAATTTATCAATTGGCAAAGGCAATTTGACAGGGAGTCTTTCAAGGAGAGACCATAAAAAGTAAATAAAAGGGGGAAAAATTGTAAGAAAGCCCGAGATCCCTCCCATGGCGAATTAGGCGATGGTGTAAGAGATGAAAAGGAAAAAGCCAGAAATCTTGCAAGTTTGGGTTTCTTCGGATGTTTGCAAATCTTCCTCAGTCTCTATATTTAGAATTTGCGCCTTGTAACGATGTGTATCATGTAAAGACAACCTCTTTGCTTTCGTGAGTTTGTTGTAGATAAGAAAGGATTGGTGATTGCTAAAAGCTGTTGTTGGACAAGAATCGAGTTTGTTCTGTGACTCCCACTCTCAACTCCTTTAATAGGAAAGTGGGAAGGACACAAGGAAGGAGGAAGGAAACCTTCTTCAAAACCGACGCGCCTAGATGCTCCCACCTTCAACACATTATTTTCAACAAGTTTAAATGCGCAAGTCAACCTTTACTTTTATTTTATTTTATTCAATTAAGCAACTTGTCTAATATAAGCTTAATTTAAATGGATAATACAATATTATTAACCCTTCTATTAACTCACTTCTATCCAGAGGCGCAGGGGACGGGACAATTTAGAAAATTTTATAACTTATTCTTATTCTTTTGAAATTTTATAGTTTCATCCTTATAAAAATTTTAAAATTTTTCTAATATATTTTTATTTTTTTAAAATTTTAAAATTTTATCTTTATAATAATTTTTTATTTGGTAAGATACCCTGCAACAATCAATCAACAAGTAATTTTAATAGAATTAAAATAAAACATATTGTAATAGAATTATTCTCAAAACTTTACAACCACCACCTCTTGTTATTTTTTCCCTTTACCAAATATTGTAAAAATAAAAAAAAATTTACACTTTCTTACTTGCTAGCATTCTCTGTGTAGAAAACCTTTAGTCGATAACTTAATTTTCATGTCATAATAATTGGTAAGTTTGATTTATTAGCTTATTTTATTTTTAATATTTTTAACTTTAAAATTTTTCTTTATTTACTAATTTTTACTTGGTGATTTTGATTTAAGATTTACCGACTTAACCATTTTTTGTTTAAAGCAACAAAATGAGGATTTGATTAGTCCCTAATGTTAGTTATTACTTATTTATTTTGGGATGGTTAGATTGCTTTTCTACAAATTATTTATGTTTTTTTTTCTTTGCTTAGATTCTTATGAACAATTAAGTTTTTTATTTGGGATTGCTTCTTCATTGAAATGTTTATTGATATTGTATTTTATTTTTGTGGTTAATTTTAGAAAATTACTTACCCATTGAATTGTTTATTGATAGTCATTAATATTTTTTAGGGGATTGCTTTCCATTAAGATTTTTGTTGTTATGTTTGTTAATTTTATTTGTTGTTAAGTTTATCTATAAATTTTGATTCTTGCCATTATTAACTTATTTATGATTATACTAGTTAATTTTTTAAAAGTAAATTATTAAGATTGATTCCATTGAATAATTTTCAGGATTTATTTGTATAATTTTCATATGCACTTTTTTCATCTAATTTTTTTTATATTTTTGTCAAATATTGAACTTCTAATATGGCTGTTTTATAGATATTATCTTCGACTCTTCGTTTCCCAAAGTACAAAATCCTAACTTCTCTACTGCTTTTATCTATCATTATAAATATGAACAGAATTACTCCATATGATATGAAGATTGTTATCAAATAAATAATTATCATTTTAAGATAAATTAAACCTAATTATATTGATATGATACGAACAAAAGCTAAAAAGGCTTCTCTCCCTCCTCTCATCCCTAACGAAAAACAAATATAATGGTTATTTGAATCCTCACTAAACCCAAACCCATTAAATACATAAAAATATAATACCTATGTGAAGAAAATTTTTTTTTGGTGATTTATATATAGTTACAAAAGATCAAGAGCAAAAAGAAAAGAGAGAAAAGATTTATAAAGTCATTTTAGTGTTATGAGTTTACATTTTTTATTTAAAAGATATACTTATAGGTATGCTTATCTTATAAACTCAATGTTTATCCTATCTCTTACAATGATGGATCCATAACATTCTATCTCACTTATTTGTGCAATACTTAATAATGTAAATGGGTAGGGTATCCTCCACATATGGGATTGAAAAATTAGGAGTTATTTGAGCATTATGTCAAATTAATTTTATTTCTATTAGGTTACAAAAAAGAAAGTAAAAGTTTGAATCTCAGGAATTATAAATTTTGAAACATTATGTAATATTAATATATATATATATAATCAGGTTCCGGTTTAAGGTATTAAGAAAATTTATTTTGTAAACACTCTTTCATTTAGCTTATTTCCCCTCTTTATATTTGTTCATGAAGTCCTTGTGACTCATTCATTAGTTTCTCTCATTTATTTTTCAGATTAGTAGATTGTTTGGCTCACTGTCCTTTGAGAAAGTTACTTCTGTATTGTGGTAAATGATTGATATGGCATTTAGTAGACGTCAACCCTTTACCTTTAAGTTTTACTCCACTAGTTTTGTTCGTCTGTTTATGGATTTAGATCTATATTTACATTTTGTAAAAAATGTTTATACTTTAATTTCTCATATTGAGCTTGAGACAGTGCACATGGATATTTTTAAAAACAATTACATATAAATACATGGTGATGCATCCCATGGTATTTCTATATGATTATATGATATTTTATGTATTTTTTAAGGCTTATATGGGTCAAGTGAGACCTCCCTATTAGGCCCTTGTACCGATCATGGCCCTTGAGTTTGAGTTGTGACAAAGTTGAGGGTGATACCCAAAACTTACCCGAACTCAAGTCGGTATTAAAAGCCTTACCTGAATTCGTTCTATAATTGAATATAAGATACCCAAACTTTATGTTATCAAATCAAATGCCCGTGGACACTCATATAATAGCAACCTATTTACATTTTTTGTTGCATTGGCTCTTTCACCCACATAAGAAAGAACCTATCTTAATCCAAACCTATCTTGTCATTGATGACTCTAATGAGAGGTCTCACATTAATGAAGGATGAAGTAGGTTTTGATATAAGGGGTTCATACTTTAACTCCAGAAGATATAGATATAAAGTGTAAGAAGATCCTTATTTATAATTAATCCAAAACTCAACTTAACTTTAACATACATAAATCCATAGCATTAGCACTTGTCTTTTCTTTGTTAAAAAAAATAATGGCACTTTTGTCTTCATAAAATGCTTGATATTTCAAAATTCAGCTTCAATTCCAAGAATTAAATTCTCATAGCGTAATCCAACCAATGTATAAAAAATAATGAACATAAATATGCATAAGTTTCTTAGTACCCAAAAGAGATCATTTCTGGTTCAAAAGAAAAGGATAGAAGGAGATGATTTCATTGATGACTATCGCAAAGAGGGCAGTTTCACAATAATAACGGAACATGAACAATTGATTAAAGCTAGGGGGCGTAGATAGACGCGCGCATGAGGGAGCGTTTGCTTAATGTGCGGCCGTTTCCACCTGGGGTCATCTGATTGGCTAAGCGGGGCCGTGTTTGTGTGCGTGAGTAACGCGTGCAGCTGGTATTGGTAAAGTTCAACTCGGTTTCTGGTTGTAGCCCAGGAGGCGGAGACCCGGACTCAGCATTACACGGTGTTAGGTGTCAAAATTACGCCCCTTTGCTCTTATCCTTCAACTTCACCCCACAAGTCAATCAATCCAAACAATAGAATATTCGGCCGGCCACTTCTTGACTTGGCCTTCGGCTTTGGTTTCTTTCTTTTTTCGATATTAAAAGGGCTTAAAGCCTTAAACCTTATTCCTTTGGAAAAAAAACAAGCCAGCGAATCTGGTTTTCCTCCATTATTTTTTTATTTATTACTTTTTAATACACATTTAATTATTATTCATATATAAAAATTACACAATTTATGATCGATAACGAGGCCTGATTTGGTTCTAGTAGGGGCTCTGACACCGGCTGGGCTGGATCTGACGTTTTGTTGTCGTCAGTTAGCCCTTCATCGCCGGGAGAGAGAGTGGAGACGAAGAGAGATTAAATAAAAATAATAATATAAAAATATGATTAAAGAGTAAATTTTTTTTTGGATAAAACACTTCTACCTCTTTTTAACTTTTGACTATTATTATTCACTTATGTCCTATTAGTGTTCAAAATGCATATTCCATCTCAAAATTATATTATATTATTATACACATAAGTTCTGTAATTAATTTATAATTAAAATTAATGATTTGGCATTATTCACTGTTGTTATCGCTCACTCCAAAATTATTCTCCAATCTTTTCTTTAGATTTTGATCATAAACTATTTTTTAATGTTCTCAACTTTTTCTTAGCATCTTATTCTCAAAAAAAAATAAAAATAAAAATCACCTTATGATCTTTCTTCTTTCTCTGTGGATTCTTTTGTTCAATTTCTGTTTGAAATCTTCAAACAATCTAGGGCAGGGACTTCCATAGAATTCCAAAAGGGGTAGGGGAAGGCAAACAACAAATTAAAAATATGTGAGCATTTTAGTTATTTTTAATTTGAGATTTTGAAACGAAATGTTCATTTTTAATGTTAATGGGTTTACAATTATGATAAAAGGGGTCGGGGAATTTTACTTATTAAATTTATAATTTTTTTAATAAATAAGTAATTCTTTTCAATTTTTTGAAATTCTTTACAAGATAAACTCAACATCTATCTTTTTATTTTTAATTAATAAGTGGTAATTGTTTTTTTTTATTCTTTCACCTTTTTAAATATAATAGAAGTTTTTGTAATTGAAATTAAATAAAAAGTTTTCAAATAAATAATTAATGTTCAGGTGTTTGCCAGACTAGAACTTTAACCTTAAAGTTGACAAAAATACTAACAGATGGATCATTTCGTTAAGAAGTTAGAAGTGTAAGGACTAAAAGGTTACTTTTTAAAGTGTAAGAGCCAAATTATATGCGTTTCAAACTTTAGGAACAATGGGCGTAATTTACTCATTAGAATATAAAGAGGAGCCAAATCCGGATAGGAACGAATATATAAACTTTGTTTAATTGGGGCATACTAATTAAATAATCATAACTATATGCAAAAATCATTACAAAATAAGAATAACTTAGACAACTTCCAACGAACGATAAAAATTTAAATATCATTTATATCATGGATTATTATTTAATATAAATATATATACAGGATTTGTTGGGCTTGACTAAAACTTTTCAAAAAAGTGTTGTTTGAGAAGTGCTTTTTCTGAAAGTACAATGAATACAAGCTAAGATAGTGTTATAATGTAGAAGAGCTATAGGATATAGAAAATTATTTGAT